TTATCCAGAGGTACGTAGAGATGAGACTTTGGTTGAGGATTTGCATGGAGTTCGTGTTGCGGACCCATATCGTTGGTTAGAAGATCCAGATTCAGAGGAAACAAAGGTTACTATTTTTTACTTGAATTTAAAGAATACTGTATCTTACATTAACGAATAACGAATCAAAAGGCATTTGTAGATGCCCAGAATGCTATCACCGATGAACATCTAGCTTCTTATGAATATCGAGAAAAGTTTCGCAAATGGTAGGCTTGAATATTTTTGGAATTCTATAAATTGAAATCACTAACTTTAATTATAGTCTGACAGCAATGTATGATTATGAGAAATATGGATGTCCTTTTAAGAGAGGAGAATTCTACTATTACTTTTATAATACTGGATTGCAACCTCAAAGGTAAAATTTACATTAATAATTCAGTACGGTATAAGGTATATGCTATTTAAAAGTTTACTTTGCTGGCATCTGATCACCATATCACAGTTGTTCGGTAATTCATAGTATTAATACTGATACTAGGGTATTATATTTTATCTAATGAATTCTCTAAATTATAGCGTTCTTTATCAACAAGCATCATTGACCGACGAGCCTAAAATGTTCTTTGATGTAAGGATCTTAGTCTTTTGAATTAATTTTTAGCTAGATGTGAATATATTCTTTTTTTTAGCCTAATACTATAGAAGCTGATGGAACTGCAGCATTGTCAACGTGCACTTTCTCAAAATCGGGCTTATATTTTGCTTATGGTATTTCGAAATCGGGTAAGTTTATATTTATATATATTTATTTTTTCTTTGTAGCACAAGATTAATATAAACTCTCAACATTAAATAAAGGAAGTGACTGGGTAACAGTCTATGTTAAGTTAACAAATAGCAACGGACAAGGACATTTGGATGACCTAGTAGAATGGGTCAAATATTCCGACCTAAGCTTCACTCATGATGATTCTGGATTCTTTTATACTGTGTGTTATTATTATTTCTTGTAATATGTAGATAATCTGAATTACATTGCAGCAATTTATTGAAGCTTTTTATATAAATTTATGTCTCTTCAGAGATATCCTAAACCTGAAAATGCAGAGGATAAAGGCAGAGAAGTCGATTCTAGTCTCAATCCGAAGGTATATTTATATTATCATTTTTTGTAATGTTTGATCTTTATACATTCATTAAGGAAACATTCCATAACTTCTAGGTATATTATCATCGAATTGGTACTTCTCAAGCCGATGATGTTCTTATACACGAAGATCCGGAAAATCCTGAACTCTTCTTTAATGCCGAAGTATCAGTAGATGGTAGATTTGTATTGATGATTGTGTCAAGGAGTTGCGAACATGTTAATAAAATTTGGATAGCTGATTTAGAAAAGTCTGAAGGAAAAGTGAAAGGTATAGTTTCTTTATCTTCTTAATGATACTTTAATATGTTTAATTTATGGTTTTTTATTTAGATAAATTGGAATTCGAAAAGGTTGTGGATAAATTTGAAGCTGAATATGATTAGTGAGTTTGTCTCTCCCATTTTGAGAATTTTTAGTTAAATTTTTGCTAATCCGATTTTTTTAGTTTAACAAATAATGGAACAGTATTTTATTTTAAGACAAATCTGAATTCCCCTAGATGTAAAGTTGTTAAATATGATTTAGCTAATCCTGATGAAGTAAGCATAATTATACTCGGTAAAATTTTTCATTTATAATTAATATTTAGTAAACTTGATTGATTGATTAATTGGTAGGGGTTCACAGATTTAGTACCTCAACATTCTGTCGATGTCTTGACATCTGCGCTTGTTGTACATGAAACTAATCTTGTTACAATATACATGCATGATGTCAAAGAACAAATATCTATTCATGAATTAACTACTGGAAAAAAGATTAGAGATATTGATATTCCAATTGGATCAATTCCTTCTATAGCTGGTAGGAAAGAAGATACTGGATTTTTTTTTAAATTTACCGGATTTTTGAATCCTGGTATTATTTATCATTATAACTTCCTCGACAATTCGATGAGTGTTTTCAGAACGACAAAAGTTCAAGGACTAAAAACTGAAGATCTAGAGACAAAACAAGTTTTCATTGAAAGTAAAGATTCTACGAAAATACCTGTATTTCTGGTTTCCAGAAAGGTAAAATTTACGATATTTTTTTTGAAAACCACCATTTTTTTTCGTGTATAATAAAAATTTTTGTTACTCAGGATATTGCACTCGATGAAGAAAATCCTACGTTTCTATATGGATACGGAGGTTTTAGTAGCAGTTTAACGCCAGAGTTTAGTTTGACTTGGATCAACTTTATACAACATTATAATGGTATAGTAGCTGTTGCTAATTTACGTGGTGGACTTGAATATGGAGAAGAATGGCATTTGGCTGGTATTTTTGAAAAGAAACAAAATGTTTTTGATGATTTTCAGGTAAGTAATTATTCAATATCTATTTCTTGATTATTGACTAATTTGACTTATAATAAAATTATAAATATAGGCGGTGGCTAAATGGTTAATTACTAATAAATACACTAGAGCTAAAAAACTAGCAATAAATGGTGCTTCTAATGGTGGCTTGCTAATTGGTGCATCTATCAATCAGGTCCACTATAAGTAAACGTCTTAATTTATAGTTTTTATATATATTATTAAAATTATCTAAATTACAGGCACCTGAACTTTTCGGAGCTGCAGTGTCTGATGTTGGTGTGTTGGATATGTTAAGATTTCATAAATTCACTGTTGGTTACGCGTGGAAAAGTGATTATGGCGATCCTGAAAAAAAGGAAGACTTTGAATATATTTACAAGTATGCTTTATTTGCTTACTTGTTTTGTTATAATATTTATTTTTTTTAATCCGTTTTGATTACTTTTCTGTAGGTATTCACCATTGCATAATATTCAGTCTGCTAAACCATATCCTTCAGTATTATTGACAACCTCAGATCATGATGACAGAGTGTAAACATTTTTTTATTATTTCGATTCGTTGTAATAATAACCTTTTTTAGCATGTCTGATGCTTTTTCAAAATATAGTGTGCCATTACATTCTCTTAAATTTATTGCCCAATTGCAATATGTTGCCAGAAATAATCCTAACCCATTGATGATTAGGATTGAGAAAAAGGTAAGAATTATACATTTCATTTCGTTGATTTGTTTTATTAAAAAGTAAAACTTGTATTTTATAGGCCGGACATGGCGCAGGCAAGCCAACACAGAAGTGTGTATGTATTTTCTTTTAATCTAATTATTTGATCTATTTAATTATTCTGATTAAAAATTATAATCCTTAGATTGACGAAGAGACTGATAAAATCTCGTTTATTGCTATGGCTACGGGCGCCAAATGGATAGATTAACAATTTAATTTTTATAAATCTAAATTAATTCAAGATGAAAACAATTATATTCTT